AGTTGTGTCTAGGAGGCAGGCGTCCACAAACTGGTGGCAGACAGTGGAGGTGGCCTGGGGCTGGGTGGGCCGTTGGCTCGTTTGGAATGGGCTTGGAGCCCCCAGCTGTGGTGCAGGGAGCCAGGGGAGGGGGCACAGTACCATCTCCTGGAGGTAGTAGTTCTCCTGTAGCATCTGCACCAGGCTCAGGAGGCCCTCATCCGTGATGTCATTGTCTTCCACTTCCAGCTTAGTAATAGCTGTGTTGGACTTTAGCCAGCCACAAGGGGAGGGGAGAAAGGCACAGAAATGGTCAGTGACCTAGTGGGTCCCTACCCATCTTAGTCCAATCATGGGGGTGGACACAGAGACTCAGGCTAGGAATTCTGAAGGGGAGGAGAGGAGAAGAAGGCTTCCCCAGAGGACAAGCCATTCCACTCATTTGAGCTGGGCGAATATACCTACTCTAGGAGAACTTAGAAGAGGGCCCTTAAAACAATTAAAGCCCTAAAAAGTAAGAGGCATAAGGAGAAAATAAACAGGTTTGAACTACTTAGCCTCATGGAGAGATGACCATTACCTACTCCAAGACTAAGGAAAACTTCATGCATTTAGTAAGGGATTGAAACATATAGATTCTTTCCAGGAGGCCCTCTAAAGAACTGACTTCACTTTCGCCAGAGGCTTTCTTCTCGTTTAGGCTTAAGTACTCTATTTTTAAATTTTTATTTATTTATTCTATTTTGAGATGAGGTCTCTGTATGTTGCTACCCAGGCTGGTCTCAAACTCCTGGGCTCAAGTGATCTTTCTGCCTCAGACTCCTGAGTAGCGGGGATTGCGGGTGTGCACCACTGTAGCTGGCTCTGACACTTGCTTTTAGTAGTGTAGGTGGCTTCAAATCTGTTTGGAAGGAGCCAAACTTTAACTCTTTAATAAATACCTACACCCAAGCTAGTCTGAATTTCCACAAGAGGAAAGAGAGGAAATGCTTTGTATTGCAGAAGGAAGGACTGGGGTTAGCTCTAACCAGAAATTATATTCTTCCCTTCCTCGCTTTGTTCCCAGTACAAACAGATATGGAGAAGAGACACGTTTTTGGATTTGAGCATTTTTAAAGCCCACCAAGCAGCAATAGTAGCACCAAGGGGTAAAGGGGCAGTGTTTGTTTTCCCCTCCAAGAAAAAGGGAAATGTGATATTTCAAGTAGTTGCAATGCAGGGTGGTTCATCCAGGGTTTTCATGGACTGTCCTCTGGTCTCAGCTGTCTAGGGTGGGCAAAATTCAGTTATGTTCAAAGGCAAGGGAGATGGCTCAGGTGATTTCCCAGTCTAGGTGCCACTTAGCAGTGTCCAGAAACATAGGCTGAATGACCATTTCCAGAGTCATACTAGGGACCCGCACATTGCAGAGTGCAGCAGGAGGCCTAGTCACTAAATCCACCCTTATTCATTTAATTCAGGCCAATGTCTATTTGTCACTCTCTGTACTAACTTCCAGGGAAACAGGGTTGAGCAGAGAACATCCCCTCTCTTAAGGGACGTCACCGACCCCTCCCACCCGCAGCCTGCCCGGTGCACAGGCATGAGTCTAGGTAGTGAGGGACACACACAAGGACAAAACACCATCCCTATTATGGAGGTCTTGCTTTCTAAGCCATGGAAACACAAACACGCAAAAAGTTAATCATTACAAAAGGTAAATACAAGTTCAGTCCTCCAGAATGCCACGCTGATTGTCAAGTGAACGACAGAGAGAATCAGGGAAGAAAAAACTGTCCCCAAACAGAAACAAGCGGTCCAAGTCCCAAGAGGATTTCCTTGTCATCCGTGTTTCCCATGAAGCTCGTGAGGTCATGGTGTGTTCCTAACACCTCATCAACCAGCCTTTCAACCCTCCAGACATTTCAAGATGGCTTTGTTCCTTCTCTGCTCTTTCCTCCACCTTTCCATGAAATAGTACCTACCATCTCAGGTTTCATGTAACTATTTCATGGGCACATGCTGAATGCAAATGCTATTATACACGGTGGCCATAAAGTTCGTGTGGAATTTAAATCGTTACAACTATGCATGCAACTATTTAAATTTCACACGAACTTTATGGCCACCTGTATTGTTAAAAAAGTCAAGTGTAAGGGCAAGGAAAAATAAGAGCATGTACCTATTCCATAAATGTATCGTTCAGTGCCATCTGGGGACTGGGAACGCAAAATGAATTGCTCGCAATCTCATTCCCTTTATTGTGTGAGGAATTTGCAGTGGGATATATTGTAATAAGAGTTATATGAGTGTATTTCTCTCTCTCTGTCTCTCAGAATATCTTGTTGTTCTATACTATGGGTAGCTAAAACCTTGGAAAGCAAACCTGTGGTGGTGGGGGGGGACTACTGTACATTGTAGCAATGAACAATGACAGCATATTTTAAGACTTTTTGGAGACTGTTTTGTGTTTTGTAACTGTTTCGCCTTCTAAATTCAGCATCTCGCAGGTCTCTGCATTGTCTCGGAGTGAACCTGGCTGACTCAATCTGCCCAAGGCTTGTCTTCGGCTGTCCCTACCTTCTGTAGCTTCTCCTGCCTCTCCGTCACTCCTTCTGTGTTTCATTTGCTGACTCCTTCTGTTCTTTCAGATCCTTTATAAATAACATGTTTTAAAAATTTGTTCTCTGTCCTCTTTGTTTTTTTCTGTTAATTCTTTCCATGGACAATTAAAGTATTGCTGAGTTTTAAATATTGCCTCTAAAGAAGTATTTGCCTTTCCACCTTCCTTACCTTTTTTAAGATATAACTTTCTTTTTCTTTTTTTCTTTTCTTTTCTTTTCTTTTTTTTTTTTTTGAGACAGAGTCTCAAACTGTTGCCCTGGGTAGAGTGCCATAGCATCACAGCTCACAGCAACCTTAAACTCTTGGGCTTAAGCAATTTTCTTGCCTTAACCTCCTAAGTAGCTGGGACCACAGGCACCTGCCACAACACCCAGCTATTTTGCTGTTGTTGTTGCAGTTGTCATTGTCTTAGCTGGTCTGGGACGGGTTCGAACCTGCCATCTTTGGTGTATGTGGCCAGTGCCCTACCCACCGAGCTATGGGTGCCGCCCCAATAACTTTATCTTTCTAAGGGAACAGACAATGTTGTGCTGATATACAGTTGTTAAATTGTTTTTTCCTTGATGGGATACAATCAATTATAATTATATAAAGCTATGATGAATTCAAGGTGAAGTTCTTATTTGGTCATGCCAAGCCTAGAGTTAACCTATTCCTGTGGGAAAACATGGTCTGCCTTACACTGTGGTCATTGGCTCAGTAGTGAGCCTATTAATAGGAAAGGTGAGCTTTGGTGTGGACACCCAGGCCGGTATTTTGTATTATGCTCTGGCACTAATGCTTGGACCCAAGTTCAGCTCAATCACTTTCCCTGGGCCCAGGGTTGGAACTTTTGCTTCCCAAATAGTAAGGAGTATAGGCCTCTAAGGCCCAGGGCTCTAGCAGCCTTCTCTCAGGAGCTGAAGGGAAGTCCATGCCTGCTAGGGGGAAGTCAGGAGCCCCAAGCACACCCCAGGTAAGGGTGGGTATAAAGATTCTATTTCTGCTCCCTAGGAGGGGCCCTCTGAGTCTTCACCCACTGCAACCCTGTCAACCCCACTGGCATGCTTACCACCAGGGCTATGGCAATAGCCTTGGTGCCCTTGGGCCCCAGGCCATGGTGGTTGAGGTTCATGTGGGGCTCCTCCATGTTCCGGATGAAGTAGGAGACAGGCACGGTGCCCACCAGTTTGCAGGCCTCCAGGTATAGCTCCTTCTGTCCAGTGGTGAAAAACTTCTCAGTATCTGCCGAGAGAGAGAGAGCAGGAAGTAGATTTCTCTTGCATGTTCACCCTATCTCCCTGCCACCTCCAGGCGAGGTTCGCTTGTGACTGGACTCCCCTCTGCCCGAGGACCTGTCTCCATGGGTGTGTGCACCAGATGCCAACTCCAGTCCCTGCAGTCAGTCAGGGGTAAGAGAGGGACGGCCTAACTCCAGAAAGCCCCAGATGAACATCTCTCTCTGGGCAAGAGACGAGTCTGGTGGTTTTAGGCCCTAAGCTCTCCTAGGGCCAGTGAGCAGTCTACTGTCACCCCACTTCCCAAGCTGGCCACATCCAGTGACCGGTTGTTAAGGATATGCAAAGGCCCAGCCCTCTTGTCCATTCCAAAACCCGTCATCAAAAAGCTGATGGCTTTGGATAGGTGAGGGAGTATCCATTTCAGGTTCAGTTTCACTACCAACATTAAACTGTTGTGAGCCATGAGCAAAGCTTTGCCAGAGATGGAGAGGAACACCAAAAAAGCCCCAGTAGAACAGAGTGGGCTTCTCAAGATAGCTCGCCAGTGAAGATGGGAAGACGTCCAAATCAGCAGGAAACAAACACACTTGCACGAGAGTGGGCTTTCCTCTGTCAGTGACTTGCCTGCCATTTCCCTCACAAAAACGACTGCCATCTTTGTCTTACCAATGACAAACCGAGCCCCAAATCATGCAGAGCTGGTCAGCACACACAAAGCAGCCAACAGAAGTGAGGACTGCAGTGCTCCATTCTGCCCCTCCAGGGCCTTCATTGCTTAGGCTTTAGACCAGTCTGGCCTGTGGTCAGCGGTAAGCGGGGCTCCCTGGATGCCCCACAGCTGTGTGCCCCTTAGGTAAGCCCAGCCTGTGGCAGGGCTTCCTGGGGCCCGCTGACATCTGGGTCTGCATCTGTTTTTCCTATGGATCCCAGGTCCTTTGGCCAACCCCGAGCAAACTTTTCAGAGGCTGACAGTGGGAGCTTTGTTGGTGAAAGGAGGATAGCTTTAAAGGGAAGCTGATTTTGCAAACCCAGCTACAGACAGGACAGGGTTTCTCCACCTCAGCACCGCTGATGTGAGCTGAGTAATTCTCTGTTGTGTGGGTCGTAGGATATGTTGTGGGCTCCCTGGCCTGCACCTACAAGATGCCAGGAGCAAGCCCCCAGTCCCCAGTCTGCCAAATGCCTCCTGGGGTGCAAAATTGCTTCTGGGTGAGAACCATGTTGGAGAGAGAAAAAGTCTGTGGTGAGTGAGCAAAACTGCTTCTGTCTGTCCCTCTTCTATAGACCCAGTGCTGGCTTTGAACTTCCCTGGTCACTTCCCATGCTGTCCTGAAGCCTTTCCACCAACACCCAAACCACAGCACCAGCCGCAGGGGCGCTAGATCCAGAACAGCTGAGCCCTGAGTTTCCTTTCAGGACAGAGTTCTTGGTGCACATTCAGCC